ACATACATGTAAGGAAAAATGAAGCCATTAAAATATCAAATAATCATGACTTTGAATGACATTAACATTAAGGAACATAATATTTCACAAAGGTAAGCTGCAAAGCAAAATACATTGTCTTTCCAGGTCCTTGTTTCTTTTTAGTGTAAGCAATTTTTTTTCCATAATTCTGCTGCTCCAAAAAGGACTATTAACTTCTTATTCAGTAGTAAATTTTCCGTTAACACTATTTTAGGAACAAATGAATTCCACACAAAAGTGCTGGAACTCATTTGCAAATTTATATTTTTATGTTAACAATGAAGATGTGAATATGTTAAAAAAAATACCATATGTTTATGTGGGATTCATTTATTCCAAACAAAGATTTAAAAGTAGAAGAAAGAATGTACTAACCCAGAAGAGCCCTCATGGAAAAGCCTGGCTTGCTCCTCCCTACTTCCTTCATCAATTGACCACCAACCCAGTAATCTGCTTTCATGAAGTCAAATGCAGAAGGCATTAAGTAGCCCTTAAATTTTGTCCACCGTTAAATTCAATTCAGGATGTAAATGAAGGGAGAAAAACAAAGTTTGTTACCTAGAACCATGATGCAAGAAACCCAAGCAATCATGAACTCTCGAAGAAAACCTAAAATACATTCCTGTACCAGCTTCACTCCGAAGCAGAAGTACTATTTTCTCTATTAACTTAGATGCAGCAAATAGTACACCAGCACTTTGCAACAGGAAAAGAGGCGAGAAGAGAACAGGAATTGGTATATCTCTAGCGCGAGGAGGTGTTCCCTGAAATTACAGAGCACTATAATTTGTTGATAATAGTTCAATCAGCAGCTATGTTCATAAAGCATTTACATGTGTACCTCTAGACGCATACAAAGGAGGACTTGGAATGCAATCACAGGAATTTTCATAATATGCCCACCAATATCTTGCAAACCACACAACCTGTCCTGGTGTTGATGCTCCTCTGGTGAGACTATTAAGCCACTGTTCCAGTCCAGATATCTAACAGTTGTAGAGGATGAACTAGCTTCTCTTGTACGAGAATTTCTGTGAATCACCGGATTTGACCACTTTGTACAAACAAGAAAAGCAAAGCACTCTGCAATACTGGAGAAGATGTTTTAACTCTCTTTCAGTCATCAACATCATGAAAAAGAAACAAATACCTCAGAAATTCAAAACTAAGAAACATGAAGCAAATGAAATGTACCCAAAGTTTATGAATAAGTCCCACCAACCAAGAGCACCTACATCACCTGATATTATAAAGATGAGAAAACATCAAACAGTAGTCAGGATAGAAGTAGCAAGGTTAGCTATCATGCAGAATGAGTGGCATCATACTAAATATGAAACATTTTATATGGGGAAATTTTTGGTAGGCTCTTTTACTATTATTTACATTACTATCACCATATGACTAGACACAGCAGAACATTTACATGCAAGAGAAACATCCAAAACATGAAGCCAAAAGTGAACCTAAGAAGCCTATACGAATCTGAGCTGAAGCCAAAGAAAATGATATCAGCAATGAGATTATCAATTCTTCTACAACATTCCAAATTAATTAAAGCAATATCTTCTGCTACGTATTACACATAAAAGAAAAGTATTAATTTCTTTTTTTTATCTCATAATATCGAACCTCTCTTTTTCATTTGACAACTTACATTTGCATTAGGTCAATCATCTAATGTGAATTCCTTACATTGCCATAGAAACTAAGAACTACACCAACTTGAAAATCAAAGACATGCCACTAGGGTCCCATCTTCTGTAATGGCATATACAGAATATCAAGATTACTACCCACTTAAGCCAGATTTCATTGAACCTAACTAGGAAAACTTCCAACAGAAAAAAGAAAAAAGTGAAACTCTTTTTTTACAGCAGTTGAATTAAACAAAAAAGAAGACCAAAATAAATGTCAGGCCAAGGACTTAGATCAGTTCAATGGTTGGTCAGCCCACTATTGAACTAAAACAAAAAGGTAAATAACAAGTGTCAGCTGCTATTAGGATAACAAGGGCAACCCCAAGTTCCTATTTCACTAAAGCTAGCACTTCAGGCTTGAACCCGTGTAGCCCACCCGACAACCCCAATATCCCTATGTTGAACGAGACATGGTCTCCAAATCTCTCCACCCAATATATGCAGATGCGCATTTGCATCTGGGACTAATGGATATTATCTAAATCATAACAAATCCGAGAGGTGAAATCTACAGCTCCTATATCATATCGGTAACATTGACCTCATGAAAGAATCAAGATTTCCCATCTTTAGAAGAAAAATGCATGGTAAATGCTCCATCACATATCAAAATGACTTGATGAGCCAATCACTCACTTAACAAACTTATTTCAAAAATAGTGTTTTTAATGCCTTGAACTGTTCCGAATTGAAAGTTTATTAGAGATCAAGGGGGAAAAGAAAAATTACCGCATAGTTTTAGGAAGGTGAAGACTGTGGCAGCCACAAAGAAGACCATGGAAATTGCAACCCAAAAGTGCTACAAACAGTAAACAAGCATTTCACTTACTGTTCCCATCTTAAGTATAAATGGAACTCTTCTCGTTGTTACTTAGAAAATTTGCATTAAAACTATAATATTAAAATCTAAAATCCTGAAAAATGTGCCGTGTATGATCATGGTACTGGTACCTGATGCTACAGTGTCAGCAAGAACAAAATATAGTATTACCTCAAGAAGAAGAACAAAAAAGAAACTGACACAGAGTATTAGCATAAAAATTATAATATTCCTAAAAATGTCATATTTAGTAATCTTAAAAAAAAAATCTTGTCCCCGAACAGAAAATGTATGCATACACGTTCAAGGAGAAGGCAGTTAAGCACGACAGACAGAAAAATCAAATAAAGACATCAAGGAAAGGAGATCACAAGGCAAAAATCTGTCGCCAGTTACATCAAGAGTGAATGTCACTGATGATTCCTAATTATTCACCAGAATCCTAAAAGCCCATAATCCATAACCTGCTTGTTTCAGCACCACCTACCTCTGCTTCAAGATCGAGCAGAGGCCCCATTAATTACGCCTTGAAGGGACAAACCAACTGCAGTAGAAGGCTAATGCCTACTAGCCTTATTCTAAATTATAAAATTTCCAAGCATAGCTATCACTATCAGAATCATGAGAAGATCAACTAATGAGCTTTCAGGATTATATTGAGGACCAAAAAGGAGAATCGTACGATTATTAAAGCTGATAAATATATTCAGAGATTATGCATTATTAAAGCTGATAAATATATTCAGAGATTATGCAAATAAACATAATCCACCCATTTCATCTATTACCCTTTCTATTTTGGCATGTCCTAAATTAGTGATACTGATAGAAAACTCCATTAATTGAAGAAATAATAAAAATTTACACTTTTGTTTCATTTACTTTAACATTTCAAAAAAATTGCAAGATGGTTGGGTCAAGAATTCAGACTCAATTGAAATGAGTAAGAACCTACTAAGACATGCCACATGGTCTGTCTGGGGGGAGATGTACTAGCTGAGACAAAGGATCATCGTAATTAAAATGTGTTTTCCTTGTTCAGTCAAAGGTGATATACAAATTGAGATAAGAGTATAAAAAGTTCAAGCATGGGAAATATAAGCAAAATACATTATGGTAACATCTTAAGCTATTGTATTTACATTAGTCAGTCCCTCACTATTGAACAATTATATTGAAGTTATTAGCTATCATGCTCTCTCTATTGGAAGTCAAGCCAGTTGACCTCAGATTTTTTCTCTTCTTAGTATCTTGTTTTATATTGTGCACTTTTTTTCAAATAATTATGTTGAATAATTTTGTTTAGAGGCAGAACAAAATTAATTGATAAAATTAACATGTAAGAATATAGCTCAAAGCAAATCATGTGTGCTTGATAAGATTATATTAAGTTAACAACACCACCAATAACCTTTCCCTTCTTGCAAACCCGCACCAATAGTCAAAGCACATGTTTCAAGACTTACACTAACAAGAAAAGAATAAAAATCAAACAAACAAAGAAACCAGGAAGCAAATGAATTAAATAAGAAAAGCTGGATTACAAAATATCCTTAGTAGATAGAGAAGAAAAATGAAAATTTACAAAACATATCCGTGGATCGTGTATGTCACTAAAACCACGAAAATATCATACCTTCTGTTCAAACTAGGTAGTGATATTATCAGCAAATTTTGAAACTTAAGAAAATTATCTTTCACTTGCTCAAGTCATTTACTTTTTTTTTTTAGATAAAAAAATGTGAGAAGTGTATTAAGTGAAGACACTAAAGGGTGCCACTCATATACAAAAAATTTACTAATTAGTGAAAATATCTACAATGACCGCAAAATCTAAGCTGTAAATGTCATGTTCCAAAACCATGGAACCAAAATAATGTAGCCATTTGTCTCTAACCTTAAAAAGAAGTTCTTCCTTACCCTCAAAAACCCTATTATTTCTTTCTTTCTAAGTGACCCACATGATAGACAAGGATATGACACAAGGCATGCCCTTATCCTTACAAATCCCCTCCCAAGCTAAAAGCTCATTTCTCACCAACTATTATCAATTAGCAAACCCTCATTGACTATTATCAATAGTATCAAGTTCATTAAAGCCATACATTAAAGAGAACAAACCAGAGCTAATTGTCTCTGGGGCAGTTCACAACAGTGTTATATTCCTCTGTCAACATTTACATTTCCATTTATTAGAAACCCTTAAACAATAACTAGGAAAAATGCCATAAATATCAGATTACATGTGCATAAAGCCAACAATGAAGTAAAAGACATGCATACTTACAGGCAGTGTCTCCCATATTGCTTCATCACTCATGCTTTCTTCATCACCAGGCATTAAAGCCCGGCACATTCTGTAGAACAGGTGAACATCAGTTACTAGGTCCAAAGAGGTTAGAAAGAATGGGCTTCTGTTTATGGATAAGCAAACCAATTTACCAATTTTGGAGAGAGCAAAAGGGAGAGGAAGAGGGACTATCTAATGATCTATCACATGTTTACTCTAGGACCTACATCCGACGGTACTTAAGTATTTGTTTCATAATATTAAAACTGAAGATTAAAAACTTTAAGTTCAAGAAACAAAGATTGCTCTTTTTTCATCCTATTAAAGAAAATATCATTTGGCCTGCCTTTTAAATCACATACATAAAACAAAAGTCTCAATCCCAATTCCCACATTTGACAAAACTACACCCACTTTCTTCTCTTATTAATCTTGCTAATATAAACAGAAAAGGACCAGAATGTGCAAAATTTTTGTAGAAACAACACCACTATTACAAGGCCACCAAAGGTATCCAAATCCCCCAATATAGAATTACACCTTAAAGCAAACATATTCAAAGCAGAATCTGTGTTTCTTCCAAATATTTCTTTTAACAGAAAAGTTAAGGACTTGTCTATTCATCATGATATACAGTTCTCAGTGTTCCCATCCTTCCCATAGTCTCGCCTTCTTAATGGAGTGAAGCTATAAAAGTTTATGTAATTTAGTTTCAAGTATTCAGTAGAAAAAACATTCCTCTTTAGCTCAGAAACATTTGTCTTAAATTAACTAATAAGCTTTGCAGCCTATTTTTGGGATGCAAGAAGCAAGAGTTAAAACCTAAAATTAATACTATTATGACATTCCCTTGGATAAAAATCAATAACCCTATATAACGTACCTGAAATTATCAATCAGAATAATGATTTCAAGTGCCAAGAGGGGAAGAAAGACAATCTTCAAGGTCACAGCAGCAAAATCATAAACTGTAACAAAGTAATGGTAGGAAAGCATTAATAAAGCAGGATCTAACCATGCACCCTTATACAAGCTAATCCATCCATCTTGACGTTTTGTTTAAATAAATTAAATCATAGGCATGAAAAAATATTGCCAAACACCTGAAATACGAAAAGGAAAGTAGTGAGGTGACTATATACCGTATATGCTCTCAAGATATATACAAAGTAGCAGTTCAAATGCAATAAGCAGTGGTGTCGCCACAACGGCATGGCAAGGTGCCCACTGTACAAGAAACAGAGACATCGATAGTGCAATCAACAAAATATGACTTTATATGTCTAATTTCACAATATAGGTGTCTATTTATGAAAAGGTAAAGTTCAACAAAAACAGAAAGAAGCTAAGTCCTTTTGATGTTATCCAGAAGTATAGGAGAAGAAAAACATCTTTTACATGACGATTATGAGGAACAGATGGAGCAGGCAAAGAGAATCTCCCGCGGGCAACAACAGCGTGAAACATCCAAAGTGGGAAAAATATTAGCCTGCAACATCAATAAGCAAAAATTAAACTTAATTATCTCAAGGACAGAGGGAAGACATTAGAGGATTTTTAAGCAAACGAATTTCACATTCTTTCAGCATTTAAGTAATGTGGTAATCAATCAATAAAGTTTCAGTATCTTATTGAAGAAAAAGAAGAGGAATGCCCAACACTAGGTGTTATCTAAAACTGACATTTCTTATGAACTGAAAAATACATACAAAAAAAACACTAGGAAACAACCAGAATATTATACTACATACATCTTAGTGATAGCACACTACATTTTCCATATTTACAGTAATTAGCCCGTATCAGTACAAGGTGAGTTTTTTGCTCCTTTTATGAGGCTAATTCACGACCTTCAAAGTCAAGTACCTTTTGGAGTGACAATAAGGATACAAAACCTCTAGTAGTCATGATTGGGAGAAGAATACATCGTGCCAATGAATCTCCATAGCATACATATAAGAAAAACTGCCTGTGGATCCCTGTACCCAGTTGGCACTTATTGTATGAATTCTGATCTTCTTTCAATTCAAAAAGGCAACCGCCATCTACACCCTCCCTTTGGATTCTCTTAACACACCAATATCCGCTATCTTAATTCGGTCACTGCTAAAATTGCTACATTGCGCTAAGTCTAATAGCTGAACTACTCTGATATCATCAACTAATTCTATCCATTATAATAATCCTGCCAATCTCTTTAAACAAAGCTGAGAACCTCAATTTCATTCCCTCAAAATTTCAGGCTTCT